CTTAAATTGCATATCACGGCAGACATCTCAAAATACATAGTCTTCTGGGGGCTAAGCATATATTAATACATTTTGGTAGAGAGGAATATAGGCCTACTGTCATATAGGTTATGTTATCGGGCATCCTTCTAATTCCCTTGAACAACCAAGATTGAACTTTTGAACTCTTTATAATTTCTATTATCTAGTCCAGTTAAAGTCCAGGGGAGGAAGCCCCATCATAGTCAAGAGGATACTAATGTGATGTGTGTAGTTCTTCATAGCCTCTTCATTTTGCTCTCAAAGTGCACGGAATTGATGGATTTTTAACAGAATGTAGAAAAAATTTCTCCCGGGGGGGCATGCCCCCGGACCCCCCTAAAGGGTCTGTGTTCCCCTTGGGGCTAAGCCCCCCTTGTTCTTCAAACCTAGTGACGCCCCTGGTTGAAACGCAAATCAGCTTGTTCCTCAGATCACAGTGTTGTAGTGCCATGTTTTGTCCACATTGTGGCACTGTTGTTCATTTTAAAGATGCCCTGAAAAACGCGTTTATCGGTCAACGTAGAAATGCTCTGGTAACGTTTTGTACCAAATGATCTCATGTATCATCATGAACCCGATCATGGTGTCGTATTTTCAGGAGAAACGTTAGATGAAATTGTGCAACGGCTCACTGATGATTTGCGTTTAAAAAAAAAAAAAAAAACCCTACACCCTAAAACAGAACCACGTTTCTTAATGAAATAAACATTTGCATTGATCAAATTTAATGGTACTGCAATAATAATTACAGTAGAAACAAACAAACAGAAAAATCCTCAAAAGTGAAGGATGCGGATTTGTTCAATCTGTTCTAGTCGGCAAGTGTGTAATCCTCAATTATTGGACATTTCACAATTTAAAGCCACATAAATAGTTCAAGACTTTAGTTATCGTGAACAGGTCGTGGGCATGCAATAACTTTGTATGCCTTGACCTTGAGTACAACACTCGCAACGCCCCTCAGGTCGGGCAGACAGGCATCAGTGGGAAAGAAGTGAAAATCTCTCAGCAAATAGGCCGTAAAGAGAAAAAGCTCCATTTTGGCAACTGACTCCCCCAGACAGAGACGAGCCCCCCCTCCAAAGGGAATCAGAGCTCTCGGGGAGGCCCCTCCTCCCTCCAGGAAACGCTCTGAAAGACAAAATGGTGAGGTGTGCTGTAGAAGGAAATATAATATATTCATTTCATTAAAAAAAAAAAATATATATATATATATATACCCTACCTGGTTTGAAGCTGTCTGGCTCAGTCCAGACTGAAGGATCATGATGAGCTCCAAAAAGATTTGGGATGATCACTGTGTTCTTGGGGATGTAATAACCTGCGATACTACACAAGAATCGGGTCACTTTAATGTCAACATAATTTATGTTGAGGAACTTCATCAATGCCTGTTCATCAGTATTAAAGTTCATTGAATAGCTATCACTTTATTTGTGTGATTTACAGAGATTCGGAGTTGATGTAATTCAAAAGATCATGCTACTGGAACCTGTTTGTTTTATTGTACATATACTGTACACTTACTGTACAATAATATATACATCCATTTATATTCTAAACCACTTATCTTCACAAGGGTCACGGGCGTGCTGTAGCCTATCCATGACAACCCTCCCCAGTTTTATTCACTATCAATATTATAAGGATAACATGTTTAGTGACTAATGTTATTTTGTTATTTTATTTAATAAAAATATTTCACTAAATTTGCCAATCCCTGAACTAAAAACACAGTTGTGTTATAGCAGGTTTATTATTGATGATAAAAATATATAACTAAAACTGAAAAAAACTGTTTTGTAAATGAAATACAAATTCTTTAAAAAAATTACTAAAATTACATTTACAAAACTAAAACTAACAATAATTAGTAATAAAAATTGTAATTATAAGAAACACCCCACATAAAAAAATACTCAGACTAAAAATAACCTAAAATAAAGTATATAAAAAAAAAATAAAACCCACTCTAACGCTAGAGCCTAATTAAAAGTAACTAAATTTGGAAAAACAAAAGTCATGACAAAATGACTTAATGGTTAACCACTTCTGTGTCTTTGCATGTCTCCAATTTTTTGACCTGCTGTCTCGGACGGCTCTGTGCGGTACGGCCAGAGGAGCGACAGGCCTGAGTCGGAGCACTTCGTTGATGAGCGCACTTAGGACGGGAAGTTTGTGCCTCTCGCTATATTTGGGATAGTGACCCTCTGGTACACTGCACAGCTCCTCATACACCTGATTCTGGACCTGATGGGTACAGCAGAGGAGCGAGTAAGCACATGTATGTCAAAGGTACTGTATCTACATATCCCAATTACATTGAATTTGGGATGTTGTGTAAAATATAAATCAATAAAGAATACAGTGATTTACAAATCCTTTTCAAGCTGCATTGAATTGAATACACTATGAAGACAAGATATTCAGACTTATGAACATTGTTGTTCTTTTTGTAGATATACTCTCATTTCACATTTCCGAAAACCGTTGCCCGTTAGCACAGTTTGTCGCTACATCTACCAATGAAAGTTAAAACTCAACCATGCAAAGTGTAATCCATATTTTAAGAACACCCAGAAATATCGCTTGCTTCTCTGGGCCTGAGCTCATCTGAAACGGACTGACGCAAAGTGGAAAAGAATGCTGTGGTCTGACGAGTCCACATTTCCAATTGTTTGTCAAAATCATGGAGCTCAGGTCCTCCGGGCTGAAGACAAAAAGACCATCTGGATTGTTGTCTGAGCAAAGTTGAAAAGCCAACATCAGTGATGGTATCGTGGGATGTTGGTGGCCATGGCCTAGGTAACTTGTGCATCTGTGATGGTAACATCAATGCTGAAAGGTTTTAGAGCAATATAAGCGGTCATCCAAGCAACATTTGGTTATTTCAGCAAGCCACATTCTGCATGTATGACATCAGTGTGGCTTCTTAGTAAAAGAGTGTGAGTAGTAGGCTTGCCTGCCACTAGTCCAGACCTGTCAACCATTGAAAATATGGAGCACATTATGAAGTGCAAATTACAACAACGAAAAGCCCTGGACTGTTAAGTTACTGAAGTTGGACAGTACATCAACCAAGAATGAGAAGGAATTCTGCCTGTGAAGATCCAGCAATGAGTGGCCTCAGACGCTAAAGCAATTAGTGTCTTCAGTTCCCAAATGCTTATTGAGTGTTGTTAAAAGGAAAGGTAACAAAATGCAGTGGTAAACATGCCGTCAGTTTAAACATGACTAAATATCTCATCTTTGAAGTGTATTCACTTGTATATAGCTTGAAAAGGATTCACACATCAATGTATTCTGTTTGTATTTACATTTTGCACAGCATCCCAACTTCAATGGCATTGGGGTTTGTACGTACAGTAAATGAGGAATGAAAATGCTGACGTGACCTGCCTCTGGTCGGTGCAAAAGGAATGCTATAGTCCAGTTGAGCAAGGCCGCTGTGGTCTCCGTTCCTCCAATGAGCAGGTCTACAGTGGCCATGTGAACATGAGTGTCCGTCAGCAGCTGTTGGCCAACACAGCAACCACATACACTTATGTCCATGTATATTTAATCCATCACCACAGTATATCTGATATAAAACAATCATATGAAACAGTCATTATCACTATAGGGTGCCTTTGAAACCCCCAAAAGTTAAGAATTTCCATTGAACTTCATATCTTTCCGGACAATACTCTACATGCATGCCAACCAGAAAATTCTGCATTTTCATGATGTTTGAGTTATTCTGATGAGGACACCAAAGGCATTTATAGTGATATTTGCCAAACACGAGAAACTCTGTCACTGATACTCTCCACCAATATCTGGATTTAACCGTACAAATGCTTGTAAATGATCCTGATTACCACTCCATTCTTCGTATCGAGTCCCTGGAGGAAGTAGCCTGTGATGGTGCTTTCGGGTTTGTTGTCTTGTGACTGCACAAGAGACAAAACAAGAGATTATACTAATTGTACCACCCGGGCTACAAAGGGCAGCACCCAGACAGTCACCGCTGCTCCCAGTGAGCACCGATAAGTAAAAATTATGAATTTTGAGACGGATTTTTTTTATTAGGTTTTACCCTGCCTTTCACCAGAACCAAAGAAAGAATCCTCCAAAATAAGAGCTAAAATAGAAAGTGTGTAAGAGAATGTTTGTTTTGAATTCTCATGACAAATGAGCCATCCCCCCAAAGGCTGTATTCTTTCAAAACAAACCACATTGCAATGACATGAGTGAACACTGACCTTGTAGTCCTTGAGGTGTTTGCGTATGATGTTGTCTCTCTTAGTCACCTCTTGCATGAGATGGGAGAAAACAGGGTTGGGTAATTTCTTGGAAAGAACAGATTACATTCTACATTAAATGTTTTATCTTCATGATTTTTACAGGCTTTTGAATGATTATTTCTTTAACTGACTCTCAGCAAAGGGAAGGAGTCCAGGGCGGAAATCCAACAGGAGCCCCATAGAGCGACAATCTCATTCAGACAGTTGTGTAATTCCTGCAGCTCTGAAGAACTCTTGTCATACTGAAACAATTGATCAATAACATCAACAATAATGCTTAAAAACTGAATACTGGAATGTGGATTTCCCCTCACTATTGATGCATTCATGCTAACTGATAATGCATGCGCTAACTATCAATGACTTGACTTAAATGTCCATTTTAAAAATCAAATGTGTGTCCCTCGAGTTCATCCGCCCCCTTTAAAGGGACACAAACTCACTTCCTTTCCAAAAGTCAATGTGGTGATCACATTACTGGCTGCCACTGTGAAATCATCAGAGAGATCAACGGCACTGCCTTGATAGGCCTTCAGAACCTGCAAAAGAAAGATACAACCAACGTTGTATTTTCCATTCATTACCATTATCAAATATCCCAATAGTAGTCAAATTTATAGTTCAGGAACAGCGGGGACTTTCTCTAAGCTCTTTTTTTTCCCTGCCATGTTGTGTCTACTTACTTTGCAGAGATGCATCCCTTGCTTTTCAATCACCCCGTGCAAGGAATCATGGCAGCATCGCAGCAAAGCGCCATGGACCAGGCGGCGATGGGCTCGCCACTCATCGTTGTAGTCTCCCAGAGAAATGGAGCGCCCTCCACCAGACACGACATCTCCTGGGAAAGAGGGTAAGTTCACGGTCACAAATTCAAATTGAACCATCCATCTGTTCATTTTGTAAAGCACGTGTCCCCATGAGAGTCCCTGGTGAACTGGTGCTTATTCCAGCTGACGTAAGCCAACAGGAAGTGGGGCATCCTGAACTGGTTGCCACTCTCTCGCAGGGCACATCGCGACAAACAACCATTGTCACTCACATTTTCACCTTTGGACAAGTTAGAGTCTTCAGTTAAAATAAAATGGACATTTTGGAAATATAGCTGATAACCAGAGTATCCTAAAAATAAGGATGGAGATGCTCCAAGCAAGATTTGAGCTCGGATCTCTTGACTGTGAGGCAGACATGCCAACCACTATAGCGTTCACCTGTGAATGAAAGGGGCCTCCCTGCAAAGTCTGACCATTTCTTCACCAAAGCCTCTCTTATGACCTCAGTGCTGTTCAGAACCACCATGCCTGAAGAAAAGAATGAAAGATGTATTTGGTGTGTGTCTACCGTACATGTTAAGATGAACAAAAAATGTTCATAAGAAACAATTAAAATTTTGGTGATTACAAGTGTTTCCACATTTAAGTTGGTAGATGTGTCCGTAGCGCTGTGCTAGTTGGGTTAAGTGAATTGGCAGATGGTCGTGAGTTAACTCCATCATGTTGCCTATAAGGAAACTGCTTGCAGGGCCTGAGAAGGAAAAACAACAAATAAAAGAAGAACAAGAAGAAATAGGAAAAATAACATGACAAAAAAAATCTCTAACAGTGATATATGGGCTATGTAGATACCATTGCTGTCCAATGAAAAGCATGTTTCTCATGACACACAAGAAGAAAAATGAAAAATAACATGACAAAAAAAAAAAATCTCTAACAGTGATATATGGGCCATGTAGATACCGTTGCTGTCCAATGAAAAGCATGTTTCTCATGACACATTACTCTTCTTCATTTTTCAGAAAAAAAATCCCTCAAAATTTTGGTAGGTGTTTTTTCTGATTAAAAAAAAAAAAGAAATCATGACATGCATCACTTTTGTTCGACATTATCTTGAAAATAATTACCTGGTGGAGTCTTTCCTTTGGTACACTGAGAGTCATTTCTTGGTGCAGATTTGAAGAAAGTTTGCAGGAGCACTAACACCAACATGAGTAGGGCAGCTACCACGGTGAACACCACCACCTCTGTTGGCATCTTGTGTCTCCTGTGCTGCTGCTCCTCTTCGAAACGCTTTTCATCAAATTTCTCGCCCCATTTATAGTGACCCAAAGCATCTCTCATCTGGATTGCATGTGTGGGTACTTTTGCCGTTCATATCAAGGGCGTCTAAATGTTTTCTTTTGAGTCAAAATCGGTGTCCCCGCGAAGGACATGACAACACTCCCTTGGCAACGTGACAGATTGATTGTCACTGTTTTTGTTTCATGCAAAGAAGGACGACACATTCGTTGTCCCTTAACAGGATGTGTTTAATGTAAAACCAGGCCACATCAGACCCACATTTATTTCAACTGAGTGAGACAGTGCATATTTACAGTAGTAGTGAACACCACCCTGTTGAATTGGATGGGCCGCATAGCAAAATAGAAAGCTCAACGGAGGGCTCAACAGAGATAAGGCTCTGTTGAAGTGGAACACTCAAAAAACAAACAGCTGAATGATGACACACAATAACAATGAGACCCTTTCTTCATATGGAGTTCTTGCGAGCTTGATCATCTTTAGCCATGTGTCGCAGGAGAGAACCTGGACGGTCTGAACTTCATCTCAGTGAAGGGAATGGAGGAGTCTTTACCTTTCCAGTCTATCCACACCACTCCCTGCGTTGGATTAACCACAACATTGATTCTCTTTGGTCAGTGGGTAGAAACGTGGATAAGAAAAGTCCAGTAACTCCTGATTGTATTGTACCTGATTATTAGTGTTGATGCCATAAAGTCCATTGAGGTTGGTTTTGTAGCAGTTTTTATACCACCAACCTCCCATGTAGGCCCGAGAACAGTGGATGCCCAAAGAGTCAGGATCCTTATCCCGGGTTGAGAATGGACGTTCATTGTGGTACTTCATTGAGTCACCTGGCCAAGAATGACAGTGTGTTAATTGCAATGAAGTTCTACTGATAGCTTGCAAGATGGAGCAAAACATGTCACCTGCTGTTCCTGTGTATCCAGACACTGTGAGGGCAAAATGATTCTCCTCAGAATCAATGGAAAAGTTAGCATAGTGAGCATAAGCTGTTTCGTTTCCGGATCGCAGGTCTACCCTCAAGCTCACGGGACCGATGCTGGTGAGGTTGTGCAGAATTGTATTTCCTGTTGTTGGTGGTGGGAGGAAAAACGTGATGTACATACTAATCATACTATTAAGTGACATCCGGTTGTTTGTTTAGTGATTATTCAAGCAAACTTTGACTATACCGAGCCAAAAATCTTCACTAAGGTTTCCAAAGCCGTCTCTGTATTCACTCCAGGTCCTGTAGAAATCTGTTTTTCCATTCATTCGTCGTTGGAACACCTAAAAAAACCAAAGTGAGGCATCTAGAGGAAAATATTCTGTCATGTCACAAGTTATTTCAATAACTTTGTTCATTTCACCGTCCAACCGCCTCCATCAGTCTCCATGTCGCAGTAGACTCTGAAGACCTGGCCCTCCTTTCCCTCGGGGTAGATGTCTACCTCTCCTGACTGAAGAGCTCCATTCAGCAGCTCCTGAGAGCACTCGGTCGGGTATGGGAAACGCAGCTTACCTATGAAATAGGTTTGGAGGGGAAATAATGAGTGTTAACACTGGAGTGGATGGATGAGTTTTGTTTGAGGTTTACCTGTGATAAATTCGCTGGTTACAATTGATGTGTAACGTCCATCTCTCTCGCCTTCTACCAGAACGTTGTAGCGTGACATGGGTAACAGTCCTGTCAGTTTATACTCTGTGATGGTGGGCTCGAGGATAAGCTCCTAGCATAAACAGAAATAATTACAGTAATACCCTATGGATTTATTTAATTGTTTGAGAACAATAATCAAAGTCTTGGACTCACCATTGCCTCCTCTCCTACCACTTGGTAGATCAGTCTGTAGCTGTGATAAACCACAGTGGAACTTCTCCAAACAATCAGAGCAGAGCGAGCACCCACTTCGCTGGCTTTGACCGCTTATAAAAGATACATAAATGCCCAAATAGTAAGTACTGGTGTCTTCGGAACCTGATCAAACATGCTTGATCCAGTCCTTAACTTGCATCTATCTACTGACCATTGGCAGTGGTGAAAGTTGTTGTAATGGCTGCGCTCTGAAGACTGTCCTTCTGGCTCAGGACTTTGATGGTGTACATAGTCCCTCTCTGAAGGCCTCTCAGCTGGTGCTCCACTGAGTTTCCAGATACCATCACTGTCACAGTCACATTAGGGGCTGAGGAAAGAAGAATCAATTAGTTGGTTTTGCAATCACTAAGATCGTATCATCAAGACACTAGGTTTATGGTTATAGCACTCACTCTTGGATGACTCGTAGCTGATGATGAAGCGGTCTACCTTGCCCAAGCTGGGAGTCCATTGCAGCACTGCTCTGGTATCTGTCACATTGATGGCTCGTAGGTGGGTCGGTGGGGCAGGCACTGCAGATGCGAAACAACAAATAATCGCACTGTAGTAAATATGCAGGACTTTCACAATTTGAGAACAGAGTTGTTGTACCTGTGGTGATAATGGACACAAGCGCATCACTATGGACTCTCCCTTGTGTTGTGGTGACAGTGATAATATAGGATGATCCAGCAGACAACTTGGAAAGAACCACATAAGTCTGTTGGGAGTCCAAGTTCATGGAACGGGTCTCACCTTGAAGGAAAAAGTATAAGTAATACAACATTTATGTACGACTAATGATTATGCATTTCAATATTCTGCGTTTTTAAACGTACCTGTGACAATGTGGGTGTATGTGATCGTGTAGCCTGTGATTGTTGTCTTGGGTTTAGACCAGGAGACCATGAGTGATGTCTCTGTTATGTTACTGAAAAGCATATCTGTGGCTGGCTCTGGACCTAAAGAAGAAAGACTAGGAGTTTGGACACATTCGCTGACTTAAGGAACAATGTAGTGCCTTTGGTTTCTACCTGTAGTCGCAATAACTCTGTGAATCTTGGATTTTCGGTCCACCGCCGTACCATATATGTGCAGGACATAGCGCGTATTTGTGCGAAGGTTACTGAATTCAACGGATCGCACACTGCCAGGTACCACCAGCATGATCCTCTTGGTTTCTGTTTTACTTTTTGATGCAACAACTTTACTTGAAGAGGAAGGGCTCTCTTTATGTACCTGTACCTCAATTTTGTTCTTTGCTGAATAAACATTGTCTCCCTCAAAAGTCTCCTCTTCAAACTCCTCATATTCTTCCTCATCGCCTTCTGTTTGCGGTTCCCTTCTGATCACTGTGAAGTTCTTGAACATTCCTTGTGGTGCTGACCATGAGAGGATGAAGCTGTGGGAGGAGATGTTTACAACTTTCACAGAACCTAATCCTCCTGTCCTTGTGGCACTTGTCATGGAGCTGCCATGGGCCGTTGTTTGGCTCTGGGAAACTCGAGCATTGTCTGAAGTGGCTGCAACAGAGGCATTCACTACGTTTTGAATTTTCAGAGTGACACTCCCTTTTCCTGTCTTACTTGCATCCGTGGTATCGATAGAACTATGTACAGTTGAAGTATCTTTTCCTTTTCCAGTTTTGCCATCACCAGAGTGCACTGTTATGGTACTTTTCCCTTGCCCTGTTTTGCTGGCATCTATGTTTCTATTGTCAACAGAGTGCACAGTTGTAGTATGTCTGCTTTGTGCAGTCTTGCTGTTAGCAGAGTGCACAGTGCCACTGCCTTGTCCGATTTTGCCACCAACAGAGTGCCTCGTCATAGTGTCTCTGTTTTGCCCAGTCTTGCCATCAACAGAATGCTTTGCTACAGTATCTCTTCCATTTTCTGTCTTGCTTGCATCTGTGTTTCTGTCGTCGACATAATGCACAGTTTGTCTGCTTTGTTCAACCTTACGAACAACATGGTTCACAGTTGTCGTATGTCTGTCATGTTCAATCTTGCCATCAATCGAGTGCAAAGATTTCGTAGGCTTCCATTTCCCATTCTGGCTAGCATCAACATTTCTGTCATCAACCACCTGGACAGTAGCAGTATGTCTGCCTTGTCCAGTCTTTGCACCAACTGAATGCAATTTTATGGTATCTCTCCCTCTTCCGGTTTTGCTAGCATCTGTACTTCTGCTGTCAGGAGAGTGCATAGTTGTAGTATGTCTGCCTTGTCCAGTCTTGCCATCAACGGAATGCAAAGTTTTTGCACCTCCCAACTTTCCGGACTTGCCATTCACAGAGTGCACTGTTGCAGCATCCCTCCCCTTTGCGCTCTTGCCAGCATCTGATTTTCTGTCATCACCAGAGACCACAGATGTAGATGTATGTCCAGTTTTAGCATCCGTCACTGAATATCTCCCTTGTCTGGTTTTGGTAGGATCAATGTTTATGTCTTCAACAGCAGGCACATTCGTCTGTTTATCAGTGTTTCCATCAACAGAGTGTACAGCAGTATCCACTTTTACCTTTTTAATCTGCTTTGATCCTAATCCTTGAGTTGAATTCTTTTCAATGATTGTGGACTGCTCTTTGGCGTCCTTTCCAGCAAAGGTTTTGTTGGTTGCCACAATCCTGGTAAGAATTTTTGAAAATTTTGCTGTTCTATTTAAATTTATTGCATCACTCTGGTTTATGTTAAGCTGAGGTTCATCTTTGAGTTGATGCGATTTTGAATATGATTTAGCCATGGTTCCTTCCTTTACTACTTTAAGAGGAGTTTTTTTAGCAGCTGAGGCCGTAGTTTTGCCTTTGCGGGCCTCCTCTTGTTTTCTGCCTTCATGATTCAACAGAATCTGGCCAACAGTAGGGACAGTGGTCTTTGTGGAACCTTTGATGATAATTTTCTTTTCAGAAGCATCCAAGCTGATCTGTGCTTTTGCAAGACCTAATTTAGCAGTAGTGGCGAACTTTGAACTCGTGTCAGTTTCTTTGGCATCAGTGCCTTTCCTCTGGTCCTTCTTCTCCAGTTGCACCTGCGCTGACGTTTTGGTTCTGTCCTCTATGTTTTCCTTAAGAGTGGTTCTTTCTTTATTTTCTTTCTGGGATTCTGTGTCCACTTTTACCTTTATCACTCCTTTGGCTTCTTCTGGCATTACAGAGAAGATGGATTATTGTTAGCGTTTGAATTTAGGATCATTACAGTTACTCACATTTAGTCATTCAGTCCATGAGACAGTCACTTACTTTTACTGCACTCGTCTCCTTGGGCACAGTTACTGCAGTCTGGACCCATGAATCCTTCCT